TTCTACACACACACACACACACACACACACACACAAACCAAAGCACACACACTCATACACACACGTCACTCTGCTATATACAGATATATAGAATGAGTAAAAAAAAATCAGTTTTTACATCTTAATATAAGAGTCATACCAAAGACATGGCCACTGAGTGAGTAAACAATAGAGAAATAGATATAAAACAAATACAAAAATAAATTAACAGAAATACTTGCATCAATTCATAAAAGATGATTTGAGTTTTTTTCTGAACTCATTGTTTTGACATGTTTTTGTTCACGTTAATTTACAGCCAGTTCACCACTTTGAATTTTTACCTCAACCACAAAGAAGCGGTTCATCAGCGCCTGAAGGTGAACACATGAATCACCTGTACATCATGTTTACATGATCATGTTTAACATGATCACGCTTGAGTCCGTGTTTTCAGCACCATGAGCACCAACAGGTTCAGGTGGACAAACACTGTCCCCAGAACAAAACCATTCCACCAGCAGGTTTTAATCTGTGTCCCTGGTTTTCCTGGTAGAGGACACACACAACCACAAACCTTGTTAGCGGCAGTGCTGATCCACAACTGTTCACATTCTCAGAAACTGAATCACTGCCAGATGCAAACAGTCAAAGTGTGGACAGTGAAGCGAGGTTAGCAGCAGACTGAGACGAAGGCGGAACGTTTCAAAGAAAATCTGAACGGAACCTTTCTGCAGGTGGAGTCGTTTGTGTGACGCCACGTTTAATATCTTGATCTCAACATTTAACACTTTCACAAAGCGTTAACTCCAGACTCTAGATCGAGTTAACCCGACCACAGGATATTTGTGATTCTCAGTCTATTTTAGCGAAGAGTTTATTTGATACTTGACCATCCAGAGAGAAACAGTTGATGTAATTAACCAATGAGCCACCACAAGATGATGATTCCTAAAGACGTCACTGATCTTTGCTCTAAAGCCACAGTTCCACCAACAGTTCCACTGAACGAAAAGAGAAAGTACCTGGCAGGTAAGTGATTGTGAGACTTTGACCTGAGGTTCACAAGACTAAAGGTTTTTTCTTCAACACTTTAGAATCAACACATTCTTCATCAGCATTAAACAGATTATTAAAACCACCGTGTTCTTTCTGTCGACAGATTGAACTGAGTTGATTCTTCTCGTCAGTAATGAAGCAGCAGAATAACATGAAGAATCTGAATTCTTACTTTATGTTCACTGGACCATGACATTGAGTTTTCTTCCTCCAGGTTCGGACCAGACTCAACTTTCTTCTAATTCATGTTAACACTGGTTCACACCTGAAGGGGGCGGTGTTTAAACTTCGACCTCTGAAGGTGGTCACCTACGTTCTACTACGTCACATGACCTCTGCTAAAGTCTGACGTCCACATGACTCAAGAGTTTCAGAGACGCTCAAACAGAGAAGTGTGTGAACGCTGCTGGTCCAGGTTTAGTTTGTGGACGGACACAAACTGAGATGTTTGGAAACGATGACGTAGACGCTCACGTCAGTCAGGACGTAGTCTTCACTGATTGGTCAGGCTCCTGTCACATGACCTCCTTCAGGAAGTAAACAAACAGCCTCAGCTTCCAGAGATGAACAACACAGAGAATCAAAGTGTCACGAGCCCGTTGTTCGGTTCCATTCTGGATTCTACTACGATACAGCTGTTTACATGTGGAGGAGACCAGATGTTACTCAAGCAATCTGTGAGACTTCCTGTTTGCAGCAGCACACATGCTGCGTGCACGTGAGCGGTCAGGTGACCGGTGTTTTGACTGAAACTGATCAGGACAGAGTTCCATCAGTATCGATGAGTCCTGACCGGCTGCTTCAGTTCAACAAGATTTATTATCAGTGTTTATTGAGTTTTTGTGTCTTGTGACCTCAGTTCAAACCTGAACCTCTTTAAATCAAAGGCCTGTACATTTTAACCAGAAAGAGCAGCTGTGGTAACTAACCAACCAACTAACTAACTAACCAACCAACCAACCAACCAACCAACCAACCAACTAACTAACTAACTAACTAACTAACTAACTAACTAACTAACTAACTAACCAACTAACTAACTAACTAACTAACCTGCCATTAGACCATGATACTTTGCATCTTTGAGTTTTGTTATTGATTTTCTTTGAACACGTTTCCTGTGGAAACTGTTAACTAACTAACTCCAACTAAATAAATCCTTCTTTCTGTTTACACGATTAAAGACATTTATTTTCTGCTAAAGCACCCCCCCCCCATCATGTTACCCTTCATATCACTTTTTCAAAATGATAACAGCTTATTCATCTGTAGGTCACAGACCTGTTTGTGGTTCCAGAACCTTTTGTCGTAGCTGCTCCAGAAGTGATCCACCGTACGTCCTGATGGTCAGACTCTCCTCAGGCAGCTGATGTAAACTACGGGACTTTTCCAACACGTGTGGACAGTGACCGTTTTCACCCGAGTCATTTCACACATTTCGTAAACCATCTGGACCTGGACGTGAGTTTGATGGGTTCTTGTGTTCTCATGAGACCCAAGAACAAAGTAAAAGACTAGTTCTTGTAGCCGATGGTTACGAAAGGTTGCCGGGGACATGAAACCTTTTGGATGCATGAATGGAACAAATAAGAAAAGTCATCATTTCTCATCCTCTGCGAGAACAAATTAATTCTTATTTCCTACTTTATGTTGACATGATGAATAAACCAGCAACGAGCTGGAGATCTGGAGGTAAGAGCAGTTTGTAAAAACGCGGCTAAATTGAATTGAAAATGTTGAAATAACATTGTTTCATTCACACTTTTAGAATCATTCATCCTCCGGTTGTCGGACTTCCACTAATTGAAGTGGTGTTGAAACGTTTCTACTTTATTATAGTGTATGTGTCTTCTGTTTGGAAAAGTAGATTTCTTTTCACCATAGTTCACAGATGCAGAACTGATGGTTTACTGGGTTCTGATGCCAAACCAAAATGATTTCATGTCCCGTGCAGACAAATATCTGTCCTCATCCACGTCCAAGGTTCAGGTACATGCAGCAGATTTTTTTTTAAACTCCGTAGCTTCACTGCTCCTGAATCTCTTGTGCTGAATGTTCATGATGAAGCTAAATCTAAATGTCACCCCTTGATCCCAAGATGAGGGATTCAATTCCTCACCTCCATGTTTTAAAAAAAGATGACGATCATCAGCGTAACTTTCCAGGGCTCATTCATGCTACTTACTCCTGGACTGTGTCCTCAGAGGAGCCTTGGTCCCAGATTGCACTTCACATTTTACAATCAAGTCCTCACAACCTCTTCTGTGAAAAGCGGCTGCCTGACACTCGTTTTCATGCTTCTCCTGGCGTTGGTCGTCCTGGGATGAGAACTCAGGCTGGTCCCAGACTGCATTTCAAGTTAAGGAGACTCAGACCGTTGTCTCATATTCTAAAACCTCTTTGCTGCCCATCAGGCTACTCCTGTACTGTATCCGCGGGCTGACGGCTGACGTCGTCTCCAGAAGCAAGATGGTCTTGCGGAGCCGGCGATCGATGAAGTGTGCATCCCAGGCCGGATATCGCTTTCTTGGGAGGTCGATCCTGATGACGGGACCCTCCTGTGCACGGGATGAGGAGGAGGTCCTGTGGAGGAGCGCAGGAGAAGAGGTTGGGGAGGGACGTACCTGGAAGACAGGCAGGCAACTGTCCCTGTCTCTCTCCTTGTCCCTATCTCTCTCCCCGGGAACTGGCTCCCCTGTGTCTTTAGTCCTGGGCAGTGTCCTCGGAGGGCTCGTAATGACCATGTCTGTTTGTGACCCTTGTGAAGGGGTGAGGCAAGCATCGATGACGCCCGCTACCCCCCCTGCACCCACCATGCCCTCGTCCACGCAGCCCCCCCACTGAGAGCCCAGCACAGGCCCATCAGGGTGCAGCCAGCAGTAGTACACCAACATAAAGAAGGTTCCCAGGGCAAAGCTGCAAGCCACCAGGCACACCACCACCAGGGCGTACGAGTCGGAGGTGTGCGGGCCACGGTAGGTGTACCAGGCGGCGGTCAGGGCCACGTTCTCAGCCAGTGTCACAAAGTAGTAGACGGTCATACGGAAACGGCTGGGGCCCTCCTTCACATTGAACCAGCAGAAGATGTAGATGATGCCCACAACCATGTTGTAGATGATCTCCTCCCACTTGGACATGCAGAAGTCAGTCTCACCTTGGATGATCCAGAACGTCATGACACACCTGAAACACAGGAACCAGCACTGGATCATGTCACATTCAGAAACCGTGTTATCACACACCCTCAGTACACGTGTTGTATGATTTATTAAAGGCCCTAACACCACTTCAAAAATGCATTTGTGTGTAATTGCAAACTCACAGTACAGACGTGGAAACTAAACCTGAAGAAGAAACTATAAAAACATAATTCATCATGTTTCAGGTGTCCAATGCTAAACTTCTCACTGTGAACCCATCGGGTCTCAAGTGGCGCACCAGTGACTGACGATGAATATGCCGAAGTACAGCTGGAAGACGGAGGCGAAGAGGGCGAAGGCCACGGTCCTCGCCCCGATGGTGAAGAAGTGCCACAGCATCTGTGCGATCACGGCCTTGTATGACATGGGCAGCTTGTCATCACGGGAGTCCCGCAGAACTTTCTGGTACGAGGCGATCATCCAGGCCAGAGAGACCAGAGAGGCTGAGGCCGAGAGACCTGGAGGGAGGGAAGGGAGAGAGAGAGAGAGACAGACACACACACACACACACACACACACATTTGAGTAAAAGTGAGAGAACATGGACGGAATTAATCTACACAAAGAGAGAGACGGAGAGAGAGAGACAGAGAGAGAGGGAGAGAGAGAGGAACAGTGTGTGAGGAGGAGTTTCTCTCTCACCTTGCAGAGGGAGGACGGTGTTTCCATGGATCATGATGCTCAGCTGGAGGACGAGCTGCGGTGCAGACTTCAGAAAGGCCTCCAGGAGGCGGAGCATGGTGATGTCAGCGCTCTCAAACATCAGCCTCCAGTGGAAGTGGCGACGAGGCCCGTTGCTGTGCCAACGGCTCTGAGCGCCCAGGTAGAGGGCGTGGACATACCTGAGGACCAGAGACAGATGATGATGTCAGTCTGATGAGGCTTCATATGAAATCAACTCATTTTACTTCCACTCAACATTAGTCAAAGATCAAAGAGATCAACAGTCATCACTGAAATATCTGAAAATCAAGAAAAATTACTGAAACTGATTCAGACTGAAGTCGAGTTCATGTGTCTCCAGAAACAACATGGATGAGGGATGAGGGATGATGAATGGATGAAGGATGATGGATGGATGGATGATGGATGGATGATGGATGGATGATGGATGGATGATGGATGGATGGATGGATGGATGGATGATGAATGATGGATGGATGATGGATGGATGATGGATGAGGGATGGATGATGAAAGATGATGGAAGGATGATGGATGGATGATGGATGA